TTGACGCGGACTCTAATGTGGTGGTGGTCTGTCGTGTTGGTACCCTATGTTTTGTCTGGCATACAGGGAAACAGTTTCGGGAAGGGTTTCCTGCAGAAATCTACTCGATATTTCTGCTACAACGCTGTTACACATACATTGAGGCAGGTGGTTGTAGTTTTGAGCATCTTTCGATGTGAATCATTATTTTAAATAAATACTGCAAGCATTCTTTGGGTTCTGTATTATTTAATAACACAGGTTCTACTTATTCAAACACGTTTCTCCGTGTGCAAGGTGGCTACCACAGTGCGGACTGTAATGTGCTATTATCACTTAACCAAAGCGCATGCGGCTATGGGTTTATAAGTAGAAAACGTTTATTTTGGCGAGATCTATCATTCCCCAATTTTTGGCACAAAAGTTTCGGAACACCCTGTACTATATCAGCAACACCGATTCAATCTGTTATATTGCTAATACTAATTTAATGGCTTTGGTATACTGAATCACTTCTACACATTGCAATTTGCACTGACCTTTGGGGGACACAATGGCATTTCATAAAATACCAAATTATTAAAGTTTTTTTCTGGGAGGAGGCCCAGCGACGTCTGGGGGGGCCCGGCCCCCCCCAGGTTCCCCTGTAGTTACGCCACTGCTGTCATATAGCGATTTCATTTGTACCTGTTGTCGGAATATAAAATATTTTTGAGACTATGATGCATTCGTAATAAAAAACAGCGTATGATATGCGTGTATAAGAGCATTTAAAGCCCTTTTGAATTCTGATTTTCTTCATAATAATCAGGATTTCATTTCTCTTGCAAACCCAAACACAAACTTTGTCCTTCTAATGAGCATACTGCGATAACCAAGGGGTTAATCACTCCCCGAAATCGTGTCACGAATTCCTCCAAAATTTCCGAAATCTTTACGAAATCTTTCCGAAGTCTTTCGGAAATCCTACCGATATCCCCAAAATCCACGAAATCACTCCGAAATCCGCCGAAATCCCTCCGAAATCTCTCAGAAATCTTTCCACAGACCCAAAAATCCCTCGCAATTGGCCCAAAATTCATAAATCATTCAAGGCGGCCGTTTTTCAGTTTATACTAATACACTATCGAATATACTTATATGATAAGTAACAGTCTAAAATCAAATTAAAATATTTGCGAAATCACCTGAAATTCTCCGAAATCACCCGAAATCCTTCGAAATCACCGGAAATCTTTTGAAATCAACCGAAATCCCTCAAAATCGCTCTATTTTTTTTTTAAATCTAAAATCTTGTCACAGTGGATAATAATCCCTCGAAATCTTTCCGAAATCCAGTCAAAATCCTACTGAAATCACCTAAAATCCCTCAAAATCGCTCTAAATCCGAAATCTTGTCACATTTTTCCTCTAGTGAATAACCCTTCGGCGATAACTGTTTCTACTAGTCGCTAAGGGTCGAGCGACCGGGCCGCCAAAAACTACTTATTTCATGTTATAAATATTTTTGGCACAAAATTTACGTCTTGGGCCTGGCACCAAAAGAAAAATTTTCGCCTTCGGCGCGGCGGCTCCTGCGGCGAGCATGTGTGTATATATATTTTTTTGTGTTGATATTCTAAAATCTATATTCTGTAATGCCCGTATTGTATCTGTGTGTTTTTCCGTGTATTTATCCATGTAGTTCAGGGTGAAAACGGAAAAACTTCAAACGCAACATAAATCAGGATGATGAAAAACAAAATAATGTTGGCACCCTGAACTACACGAATAAATACACGGAAAAATACACAGATGTAATACGGGCATAAGGTACCTATACCACAACCGTACCCTATTATGTACAATCATTATTTTTTTTTTTTTTGTTTTTTTTTTTTTTTTTTTTTTACGGATATGCGCACTTGCAAGGAAATGCCCTATGACGCTCGAGAAGCTGCAAGTGCGCGTAAATGTCGGTGTATGTTGGTCTTGAAACGGTTCAGGTTGTAACCTGCAGGGAAAACCGTCGCAGGGAGTTTATTCCACAGCGATGCTGTTCTCCAGAGATATGAATTCTGATATAATGAGGTTCTTGGTGCCTCTAGTTTGACAGTAAATTCATGGTTACCGTCTGTTTGACGGGTTCGCCTGGTAGGTGCTACTCTCGGTGGAATCATACGTGCCAACTCTTCAGAGCATTTTCCGTGATAGTACCTGTAGAAGAGAGATAAATCGCTCACAGATCTGCGATGTTCGAGACCATCCAAGTTACGAGTAAGTGCGGGGTCATTGATCAGCTTGATAGCTCGTTTCTGCACGATGTTCAAAAGCATTAAGGTATGTTTGGGTGCTGCACTCCATATATGTGAGCAGTACTCCATAGTTGGTCGAATCTGGGCTTTGTAGAGTGTCAGCAATTGGCTTGGTGTGTACAGATGTCTTGTACGAAATAGCACCCCCAGCTTTTGGGACGCCCTTTTAGCAATATCTGCCACGTAACTGTGCCAAGACATGTTGGTCTCTACAGCAACCCCCAAGATGTTCAACTGACTCTGTAATGTGACAGCACTTCCAAATAGCATGATGTTTGGCTCACCGGTGCTGGTCTTTTTTGAAAACAGAGCTGCTTGGGTTTTCTGCGCGTTGAACTGTACAAGGTTTTTGTTACCCCAGTCTTCTATTATCTCCAGGTCGTTATTTATCTGCGATATTTGAGTTAGTCTAAGATGATGGAATTCACGTGCGGAAAGACCTGTGGGTGGTGTGAGTGAGGAGACTACATTGCCATCGTCTGCAAAGCAATAAAGTGGATTTACTGTTTTATCTATGAGGTCATTTATGTAAATCAGAAAAAGAGTTGGCGAAAGGATTGCTCCCTGTGGCACACCAGCATTTATTTGGTAAGAGTTGGAGTTCTGGCCATCCAGTGCAACATAAATGGATCTGTCCTTTAGGTAACTTTCAAACCAAGTGCAAAGTTTCGGCGATAATCCCGTTGCTTTAAGCTTGTTGAGCAGATTTTCATGCCAAACTTTGTCGAATGCTTTAGATATATCTAAGGCAATTGTTCTTGTTTCACCCCGCAACTCAATCGATTTTTGCCATAAGTGAGTGACGTATGTAAGTAAATCGCCAGTTGACCTATATTTTCGAAATCCGTATTGCTTATCGTTGATAATTTTGTACTTTTCCAAGTACTTGGTTAGGTGATTGTTCACAACTCTTTCCATTACTTTTGATATCACCGGAAGTAGAGCAATTGGTCTATAGTTTAACGGATCTGTCTTTTTTCCTTTCTTTGGAATGGGTTGTACTGCGGCAGACTTCCATGATGATGGATATACTCCTTGCCTGTAAGACAAATTGAATAATTTTGCGAAAGTTGGGGTGAGTTCGTTGGCGCAATTTTTGAGTACTATTGCGGGAATGCCATCCGGACCCATTGCTTTGTTTGTATCCAGCTTTTTTAGGGATTTTCGTATTTCTCTGTGACAAAAGGGTACCTCTGGCATACTATGGGAAACCCTTTCAATGAACGGTGGAGTTTTTCCGTTTCGCACTGTTAGGTTGGAGTTGGAGGAAAACATTTGGGCAAGCATATTGGCTTTTTCCTCTGATGTTGTGGCTAAGTGATTATTTTTATCTGTAAGTGGTGGTATGGATGACTTGGTGAAGTTAGATCCAACAGCTTTTGCAAGAGACCAAAAGGACCTAGAACTACTTGGACAATTCAGCAACCTGTTTTTTATTCTTTGATTGTATGTTTCTTTAGCGGAGTCAATAGTAATTTTGCAACTATTTCTGGCTTCTATAAATTCTGTGTGGTTTTGAGCGGTTTGTTGTCGTTTCCAAAGGTTATATGCTCTGTGTTTTTTCTGTACAGCCGTTTGACACTGGCCGTTGAACCAAGGTTTTGCATTTGCTCTACGTTTAATTGTATGTGGGATATATGCATCCATTCCCGATAAAATTACTTGTGTTATTTCATTACAGCAAATAGTGGGATCAGCTGTTTTAAAGCAAACCTCTTGCCATGAAAAATCCAGGTAAAACTGTTTTAGGTCATTCCATTTTGCCGATTTATAGTGCCACATTTTACGAGGAAGTGGTTGTTGGCTTGGTGGGATGAGCATTTCGCACTTTGTTATTATAAGTTTATGATCGGACGAACCAAGTGGAGCATCTACTTGAATTTTGTACGAGTCCGGATTTGTGGTTAGGAACAAGTCTAAAAGCGCTGCAAATTCGCCCCTTTCTGAGATACGAAATGCCTTCTTATAAATACATTTATATCATAATATACTATTTTTAAATTTCATTTTAAATAACAATCTAAAAAAAAATATTTTTTATTAATATGGATACTAAAAGTATAGTTCGTTTCATTAACTTTGATTACCTACATTTTAATCACATAACCATAACAACCCTATAACCACGCCACTTAAGCAGGTGAGTTTTTCATTGCTTTTAGTAAATTCTATACAGGTGCTTCAGGTAGGCCGTGCGGGAAATTTTTTTATCCGCACGCCGTGCCGGAAAAAAAGTTCCCGCGCCGTGCGGGAAAAAGATAGTTTCCGAATTAAAATGCGTGCGGGAAAGAGGACCAAAACGCATGCTTGTAGAAAAACATTCATTGTCTATCCTTAATAATTTTAGGTGGTTAGAATATTCTGGAAACATACGCTCCTATCTGGAAATATGAAGAGAGCACTTTAGCAGCAAGTACCGCTCCAGTAAAAAAGGGATCTGAGAGCGAATGAGAATCACACTTGGATCTTTATTATCTTGTTCAAGTACTTGAACCCTTCAAAAACTTATGTTTCAAGTAACTTGACTATTTTTTTTTTCCAAAATAAATTAATTGTCTCGAATTATGTACTTATCAAAGAAAATTAGAGCAATTTTTCCAGAAGATCAACGCATCAACAACTGACATGGATAAGGATATCCGATCGCGATCGAGTCCGCTTCTGTCTTCTGAAGATCGATTCAACGGCTGCTGGACCAGGCGTCGGGCGTCGAGTTCCAGCCTGGATGTGAATATTCGCGTTCCGGAGTCGCAACCAGTGCCACGGACGAAGTTTTTCCAGAGACTCTTACATTCGCTCGCGTTTCGAATAACGCACGATATTGTGTCCGAAGTGATTGTTGACGGTAAGTGGAAAGAGATGAAATGCAAATTTTAATTTGTCGATTTGTTTTATGTTATGGAAATAATTTATTGTTTTATTGAAAAATTTAATATATTTTTGCGCGGGCTTGAAATTTGGAAAATATCAAAAATTGCGCCTCATTTTTCAAAAATATTTATCGGAACTTTTTAAATAAACTTGTGTTGAAATAAATTTAAATATGTATGTCATATACACTTAAATGGGTATTTATTGGAGAAGATTATTGGTATTACAATAATTATAAATTTGTGATTATTTACTTATTAAGAGGTAAATCGCAAAACTCTTTATAGTAATGCATATTTCAAAAAAATGCCTATAATTGGATAAATTGGTTGACTGTTATTGAATAAACTTCCAAATATCAATTGCAAAAAACAAGATATTGCCTCTATAAAAGCTAGAGAGTATCGCCTGCATACAAAATGAGTTGATGATGTTTGCTAATAAATATTTGCTGAAAAATAACAAATTTTGTAAAAAAAGATTGTCGAGAGAGAGACAAGATAAAATCTTTCAAATGTTTTAGAATTATTCCACAAGTTTCTGGATATAAGAATCTCCAGATAAAAATGTTGTTATGATGTTATCAATGTCGGATAGTTTGCGATAAATTCGCAATCAAATAATAAGTGTTTTGTCTGTCAGCACGACCAAAGTTACAGATTCTGGCATCAACTTTATTGAAAGATATATTGCTTGAATTGAGAAATCTTGGGTGATATTTCTGGCGGAAAATTGGAGATTTATTGATTTGTTTTTGTTCATTTGGAGATGTTTACTTAGGTACATACCTACTCACTTTAACAAATTCCTAGCTAATTAAGATTATTAATAATAAATATTCAGATGGGTAATTTTTCAAGAAACTATCCCTAATTTGAAAGTTAAAAATTCTAAGCCCTTTGGGCACATTACAGTTGCTTGAGAAGTCTAATTAATGTATAAACTGACTATTCTGGAACTTGTGCCGTTCTTGAAGTCTTGCTTGTTGTTAAGTTATTCTATATTAAAAAGTTTTCCGAGCTAAAACTTTAATAAGCGACCGGAGTTGAGCTATGATTATTAATTTCCTGTGTGAATATTTTATACTGGACAGCAGACAATTTCCATTTTTGCTGATAGATTTAATTGGCAACAAAACCAGATTCTAATATCCGTAGGAAAGATTATAATAAAGGATAATTCGATAAAGGGTCAAACACACATCGGCTTGCCAATTTATTCAGCTGGAATCGCTTGACTTTTACAGAATAAAAATGCTCGTTATTTGTACCAGTTCAAAAAAGATACCGGAACTGGTCGTAAAGGGAACTTCTTTTAGCCAAACACAAAAACGTTGCAGCATATAATATTAATAGTTTCTGATAAACTTTTCGTATTGGAACAAAAGCCTATAAGTGACGATGACGATATCGAAACTAAATTTTCTATTTTCCAATGTCGCCTAATCTAGAATTTTCCCGACAAATATGATATACCTAGTTCAACTATACCTGGAAAAAACTTAGAAAAAAAAAATAAGCAGGATATGATATAAAAATCAAAAGTAAACACGACAGAAAGATTTTCAAATATTATTCAACCAGAAATCCCTCATTCACAATGACATATAAATATTTTCCCAGCGAATAAATTCGAAAATCGAAAATAAACACGATATCTGATCTAGACCAGCCAGAGGTATGGTGGGCAGATTTCAATTCAATTTATTTTTTCAAGTATCTCTTTTTCTCGTTTTGTCGGCGCAAGGCAGTTCTCTATTCCGAGCTAATAAAATGGAAACCTGAATAATTTTCCTTGCCATCTTTTCACATAATTTTTTTCGGAATCTTGAGAACGGACAGATTTGTCTATTATCTTTCATTGAGTCAATTTCAATTGCTCTATAATTGATAAAGAGTTGGAACTATAGATCAGGACTGTAAAAAATCTATCCTTACTAACAAAAACGAAAATTTCAATAATTACAAATGAGTGACAAATAAATGATTTTATATATAGACAGGAATGAAACTTCCTACCGAGGTTTGTATACTATTTTATTTACAACAATTACAACCCTCATAATTTCGACTAAATACTAAAAAAAAAATTTTAAAATTTGTTGACAAGTTCTGACTCATCTAAAAAAATGTTTGACATGCAGGACTTATCTTAAACATTTTAAAAAATGAGAACTTACTTTCCACCCGGGTGGAAAGTGAGCACTTTCTCGAGACAGTAATTAAATTTCCTGTCGAGCATAGTATACTATTTTATTTTTAACCATAATTTTTGCTAATTTAAATTAGAAATCAAATTGAATGTGAACGTAACTTCATGCTATTTGCTTGAATTTTATGTCATTGTCATCAATTTTGAAAAAAATTTGACAATACCTGCCACATAAATATAACGAAACGAGGACGGGAAGTGAGGACGGGAAGTGGAGCAGGGAAATGAAAAGACAGTAAAGTGACATTTCCAAATTTTTAAAAAGACTGTAATGTCAACATTACATATATGGTTAAAAATAAAAACTTTTATTTACAACCACATACGTAATGTTGACATTTCTGACTTTTCAAAAGTTTGAAAGTGACACTTTTTTGAATTTTACTTTCCACCCGGGTGGAAAGTGCTCACTTTCCACCCGGGTGGAAAGTAAGTTCTCATTTCCTTAAATGTTTAAGACGAGTCCTGCATGTCAAACGTTTCTTTAAATGAGTCAAAACTTGTCAACAAATTTTTATTATTTTTTTTTGTATTTAGTCGAAATTATGAGGGTTGTAATTGTTGTAAATAAAATAGTATACAAACCTCGGTAGGAAGTTTCATTCCTGTCTCGAGATTATAGTTAACTTCGACGCTTCGCGTCTCAGTTAACTAACTAATCTCTCGACAGTAATGAAACTCTTCCCACCTCGGTATGTAATATACTATTTCCTACGAGCGTGCGGAAAAGTTACTTTTCCGCACGATTTTTCGTTTTGAAAGTTCTACTTTTCCGCACGATTTTACTTTTCCGCACGATTTTACTTTTCCGCACTATTTTTTTACTTTTCCGCACGATTTTTACTTTTACTGAAAAGTGTACCCATATTAAAGTTCGGGGGCCCCCTATTTGGGGGGCGGAGCCCCGCGGTAGCCCCCTATTCGGGGGCATAGTCCCGCGGGGGCCCCATTTTTGAGGGGCACAGTCCAGCGAGCCCCTTTTTGGGGGGCGAAGCCCTGGGCGCTCCTTTTTGGGAGGGCACAGCCCCGCAGGGCCCCCTATTTTGGGTGGCATAGCCCCGCGAAGGTAGGGAATCCTAACAATTTTTTTGGCCAATTTAGTTATAGGCCAAGGATCATGATAAAAAAATCCGGTTCCATTATTTTTTTGTGCATAAAAAAATCGTGCGGAAAAGTAAAATCGTGCAGAAAAGTAAAATCGTGCGGAAAAGTAAAATCGTGCTGAAAAGTTACTTTTTCGCACGATTTTTTTATTGCTAAAAATGAAGATATTTAGGATCAAATAAATGATTTATGTTATATATTATTTTATATTATGTGCTATTTTGTACCATCATTATAAAATATTTGCGTATTGGAACATTTTTTTTGATAAATAAGATGGACAGAAGCACTCGTAGGAAAAATATTGTACCTAACTCTTGCGGAAAATGTCTTTTCCACCCTCGACGGCTTGCCCGAACTCCGCTCCGCGTCGTTCGTGCAACTGCCGTCTCGTGCGGAAAAGTACCACTTTCCGCACTTGTTAGGTAAATAACTATTCACAAGTCAGTAGGGCCAGTAGAATTATTTATTAAAATTGTATTACCTATGTATTAATTTTTTATTTATTGTTTACAAATTAGTAACAAATAAATTATTGTACATCATACGCCAGGTATCAGTTTTTACTGGCTCTTGAAGGTGACAAGATCGCCTGTCTGCTCGCTAGTCATTTCCTTTAATCACAAGTAAAAACTGTTTTACCTGGCTTATAATGTAAAATACTATTACAAAGATATTAATTAGCTAATGGAGCTAAACGATAGGGGGAAATAAAAAAATAAATAATAATAAGTAACGGTAATTGATATTTACAAAGATATTAAATAGCTAATAAAGCTAATCGATAGGGGGCGATAAAGAAAAGGTAAGTTACAGTGATTAATATGGCACATTTAAGGGACCAATAGGTAAATAATTATACAAGCCTGGACGGAATCCTTGGAAGTTCTCACAAATTTGAGATCTAGAAGTACCAAACTGGCTGGAGGCAACCAAATAATGGTTGGGGATCAACTTCTTATAGGACACCAACATTCCTTGAAAAGGGGGCCCAGATTTACTTTGAGATGCAGAACAGCATGGTCTCAAATTGGTCAGTTTTCACTTGGATAAGTGCTGTCACGCATTTTTTCGTCCTGCCCAAAGTGCCTGAATGAATTTAGGGAATATAAGGACTCATTCATCAGAGAGAAAAAGGAATTTACATACCTGTACAGCCGATAGTAACCTCACTTCCCAAAATCTTCACAAAAATCAACAATCGGTTGATTTTCCGAGAAACGTTCCAGCTGACACGATTAATCACTCTTCTGGCTAGTCAATTTATAAAACTATGGGCTCGATGGCCAAAAATAAGGACAAAATTTTAAGATTTTTAAGATTTTAAAAAACTGGCTAGACGACCTTTTCCGGTCCCAAGACAAAAGAGAAAAAGAACAAGTCAAAAGTACCCAAAATGGTTATCTGTGGTCCTGTCTTTACTTTCTTGATCTGTCAAGCCTGTCGTAATTATAAAAATTACAGCGCTACAGGTTTCTCGGAAATAACCTTAATAACAGAGTATTCGGTAAGTATTAGGCAATTCAAACCACGTGACATTCAAGATGGCGTGGCGGCCACACATGGGCCAAACAACACACAAAAATATCTAGTTTCTGCCCGAATTAATAGTTTAGGTACCTAGTCAACAAATATTTCATAAAATAATGAAAATCAAAG